TGAAGTATAGTGCTGTCTGTGATAGGAGAATATCCATATGCCTACAAGGAAGACTAGTTTATGTCTATTATTCAAATTCATGTACCAACACTAAAGCCAACGATGATTTAATTGAAGAATTCTGCCAACTTCTTCAGTCTGAAATTGATAAAATATGAAATCAAGATGTACTGATAGTTACTTGTAAGTGGAATGCAAAAATTGCAACCCAAGAAAAAGAATCAATAGTTGGAAAATATGACTTTTGGAAATTGAAACAATGCTGGAGATCACATGATAGAATTTTGCAAGACTGATGACTTCCTCATTGAAAATGACTTTTTCAAAAACATACCATTTATCATGATGTTATTTACTGGTCCAGTGGTGAGGATTTTTGTGTTTTGTTTTGTGTTTTACACTGAGGTGCAACCCATACTGAAGGCTGTGGTCTTTTATCTCATCAGTATTTTAAGTCCTGAACAGCAAAAAGGTTGTATCGTGTTCATATCACAGGTTGTTAATGATTTTTATTCCAATCCTGATGCCATGTTTTTCTTCATATAACCCAGCTTCATAGATTATTTGCTGAGCTTATTCATTATTGAATGAGTATGGTGAAAGAATACAACCCTGGTGCACATCATTCCTAAATTTAAACCATTTTGTGTCTCCTCATTCTGTTCAGAGAGCTGCCTCTTGGTCTAAGTACAGGTTCCTCATGAGAATAATTAGGTACTCTGGAATATTCATTCTATGCAATGATGTCCATAGCTTGTCATGATCCTCACAGTCAAAAGCCTTTGCACAGTCAAAAAGCACAGGTAAAAGTCTTACTGGTATTCTCTGCTTTCTGTTAAGATCGCTCTGGGATCAGGAAGACATCCCTCATTTCATGTCTTCATCTGAATCTGGCTTGAACTCTGTCAGTTCCCTGTCAATGTACTGTTTCAGTCATTAAAAAAATTATTTTGACCAAAATTTTACTTGCATGACATATTAATGATACTTTCTGCATTCTGTTTGGTCACCTATCTTTGAAATTGATACAAATATGGAGCTTTCCCAATCAGTTGGCCAGGTAGCTGTCTTCCAAATTTCTTGGCATAGACAAGTGAGAACCTCCAGTGCTGCCTCAGTTTGTGAAAGATTTCAGTTTCTACTTCATCAACTCTTGGAGCTTTGTTCTTTGTCAATGACTTCAATGCCTTCAAACCTTTGACTTCTTCTTTCAGTATCATTGTCTGTAGACCGTATGCTACCTCTTGAAATGGATGAACATTGACCATTTTTTTTTGGTAAAGTGGCTCTGTATATTCCTCCCATCTTCTTTTGATGCTTTCTGCGTCATTCAATCTTTTTTCCAAAGGACGCTTCAGTATTACACATCAAAAGTTGAATTTTTAATCAGTTCTTTCAGTGTGTGAAATGTTGAGCATGTTCTTTTTGGTTTTCTAACAACAGATCTTTGCACATTTTATTCAATCTGTATACTGAGCAGATAGTTAGATGAGTTGGATTATATGAAGAAAAGCATGGCATCAGGAGTGGAGGA